CCTAACTGTCAAACTTAACTTACAATCAGCAGTTAAATTAATAAATATAATAAAACCAACAGTCAAGTGGTGAAAGTCTAAGTGTGAGTTTCTTTTGTTTTCAGGAACCAGTGAGTCTTCCGCGTCCTCCAGCCTCCTGCGTCTGTCATCCATCGTGAACAGCATCACCAACGACGAGAAAGTCAACTTCAGCGAGGAAGTCTCCGAAAACTGAAACATCAGTGAAGACCTTGACAAGACAACAACTTTAAAATTTTAAAATTTCTGTTGTTTATCTCTAAATTATTTCCACTCCACCAGTCAGCCATTCTGGCTTCTGTTTGTTTATGTAGCCTTCATTTGTACTGCAGGAGCAACAAATTTGTACATATTTTATAATAACGTGATGTTTAGATTTATTTATTTTATATTGAGAAGCACACAAACTCTTTAAGAAAGCTGATGTTGTATTTAAATATTTGTACATAACTGACCAAGGAAATAAATTGCTACTTTTGCAAAACTCTAAACCTCTGTATTCGTCTTTCTTCAAGGGCATGCTGGGAAAAGTACGTGCATCTATGACAGACGCAATGCAAGCTTCAGACTTAATTCAGTATCTATAAGTTGTCAAAACCTTTTCTGCAAATAAGACAGACAGAGTTTTGGGTCACGCTGCCCCCCAAGAACAGAAAAAACACCACTACCAGTTCAAGATCTACCAGTTCCCCCAGCATTCACGGCTATTAGAAGTCCATAAAATCTGTTTAGCCTGCCCTGGAACGGTTTGCTGCCAGGCTGCTTCTCTTTGTTCCAACTGGCCTCCAGCAGGACTGATCCCACAACAGTAACTCGAGTCCTCCTCCAAACACAGCGTGCCTCTCCTCTCCTCTCCTCTCCTCTCCTCTCCTCTGCTCTCCTCTCCTCTCCTATCATATGCTGGGGACATGGAAACTTGGGCAGCAGGCTTGAGTGCAAAACCTACTGGGATAATGAGGTGAAATTAGGTCTCAATTCATCAACCCTCGCTTTGTCATCACATGGCAAAGCGTTTACGTGCGAGCTATTAAAAATGTGTGTGACGTGATGCTAACGGCATGGAAATCCATTGAGTCTTGTTTGTCGTGTATTGACATGAGAGGGGGGGCGTTTGTTGATGATGTTAGGGTGTGCTGGTCTCCCTCAGATCTCTGCGGACGACACAAAGCCCCAGTTGACCTTTGGGACTCTGCCTCATCTCTCAGGCCTGCACACACACACACACACACACACACACACACACACACACACACACACACACACACACACACACACACACACGTAAAGTGTCACACATGTAAGGTTTATCAGAAGCTAGAGACCTCAATATGTCATCCAGCATTTCACAGTAAAATGAAATACATGAATGTAGCTTCAGCAATGTTGGAAATTAAAGTACATATACTAAAGTACTGCGCTTAAGAACACATTTGGAGCTGCTTTAGATACTGTTTTAAAGTAGTAAAAGTAAGTTTGTTTTAACCTTTATTACCTTTATTGTCCTGCAGAATCTTTTCAGACTCAGTAGAAAGAACCAGAGGAGTTCAAACCATACTTATGTTTGAAGGTCGTCCCCCTTTCTCCACTTTTTGTGTCTAAAAAAGTGTGTTGAGTGACCAGTTAAAGATGCTCCATAGAACAATTTGGAGGGTCTTTTGTTCTCACAGTTATGAAACATTCACATGCGATACTTACTTGTTTTTTTAACGTAATCTATAATGTACCATAACTAGTGTTTTTACAATTGTTCATCTTTGAGGTTTAATTTAATGTTTATTTGCTGCTTCATTGGTCCCTGTTTTCAAGAGCATCAAATATGGTCTTAACTCATCGATTGTGTTAAATTAGTTTTTTTTATTTATTTAGTGGCTTGGTAGGCAACACTACTGTGTTCCCCTTGGAATATGTGTTCATTTGTGTATTAGAGTAGTGTTTCTACAGTTATTATTCCAGTACATTCCTTCACCTTAAATATATTATTAAACAGTATGCTGCTGATAATAATCCAAAAATATAAACTACATGATGCAAAACTACTTTCATTATTACCATGTTTTTACTGAAAATACAAAAAAATGAATGCAGGACATACCCGTAATGTAGTACTTTTTTGTTTTTGTTTTACATATTTGTAATGGTATGTTTGTTTCAGTAAAGAATATGAATACTTGTTCCACCACTGAGCTGAATTAAAAACTGAAGAACATACAGTAATCCAGGGCTCTTATGGCTCTTTTCAACAGAACCATTCATATCTTTTACCAAATATCCTGTTTTCTGTAGGAACCAGACAGAAACATGATATCCCCAAACAGTAATGTGATTTTAATGGGTTCTTGCTCACTCACTCAGTTGTGTTACTTCACTACATTTTACAGCTCCATGGGTATCTGCTAATTTAATGTCTGTTTGGTAATGACTTCATTTAACCAAAAAAATCAACAATAACAATTTGTGTAAGAGAAAGAGTTGTTTGGTTTAATGTGTGCACTTACTACTGTCAAAAAATGTTACTTTTTAGATGAAATACTCTATATAAACCTGCATTTTGTGCTATTAGAAGTGTTTGCTGTAAAGCTATCCAGCTGTGTTTGGAACCTTACTGTCTTATTTTAAGCATGCACTCTCCACAAAGAAGCAGAACCGTCTCGGAGCCCCGACTCTCTCTTGTCTAACTTTACAGGGATTTCGGTGTTACTGATGACACCATATAATTCTCATTTGGCTGTGAAGGCAGTGTTTTAAAAGTCAAAGCTGATGAAAGGCGAGCTGGTATAGGAAGAGGGTGGGTGGGGGGGGATAAGCCTGGAGCCTGAGTGCTCTGATTTATCCAGACTTTCCTTGAATATCCTGCTAGGAAAAGGATTCACCGCAGCAGGACTGGCAGTGCACCTCTTTCTGCTCACTGCCAAACAAATGGCGTTGCCACTCAAAATGTTTTTTTGTTTCATTAATTCTTGTGGGGACTGTAAAATGGACTTGGGCTTTATGTGGGGGGGAAATAGCCTTTAACAAAAAGCCACTGAGTTTTGCAAAAGAATGCACCTTTATTTTTGTACCTCACAAAACTGATTTCCCTTCATCAAATTTCACTAACAGTATTTTGGCTGTTAAAGTATACTTAAATATGAAAGAAGAATTAAATATGGGCTTTAAAGAGATATCTATTTTACAGGAATGTAAGTGATGAATTGCCTCTCTGTCAGGGTTCTTGTGTTGCACCAAACAAGCAGCATATTAAGTCAAAGCATGACGCACTTTAGAAGAAATAAGGGTTTCAGACGTGAGGAAGATGGACATAAAAGATCACCTCCTGCCCTTCACTTAACTCTGTCTCTGACCCTTGAGAACAACAAAAAAGCAAACTCAAGAGAGTTCCCAAGAGACCAGCCGAGCGCACAGATCACAGAGCACGGCCTGCGCGCAAGGTCTGCGCCAATATAAGCTCCAGTGTGCTCCCAATAACACCATGTGCTGCGCCAATCTAGCTCCAGCCTCAATTAGCTATCGGTTGATACAAGGTTTTCTCATTGTCCCTCGTTGTTCTCAGCTTTACCAGCCTTTGATCTTCTCAGCAGCTACAAGCGCAGGCGAGCCGATGTCTTCTTCAGCTGTGCCTAATCCAAACTCCGACGGCAATTCAGAGGCAGCAGGTACTGGTGTTTTCTTAGGTGCGCGCAGTTCCCAGAGAAGGGGGCTCGCCAAACGTTTTGACACATTGTGAGAAATATCCGCATTGTATCCTTGTAAGCTGTCAACAGCATCATTACCTAAACTCGTCAGGGTCGAACTGCAAAAGCCTCTTTCGGTCTGACAATCTCTTCTGGAGGAGAACAATTCTGCAAATGGAGAGACAATTCAACTTCATATCAGCGTCTTTATTTTCTCGGCACAGATGTCAACAGCTTGTAAAATCACAGCATAAAGCAGACTCTTTCTACTCATATAAAATAAGTAAATTACATTTGATAAAAGTCTGATTGTCTAATGCACTTTAAGAAAAATAAAATATCCAATGAATTTATCTTCCCTGTTTCGTCCTCTTATAAAAAGAACAAATAGAAGTCATGCTGTGATTTCTGCCCTACAAACAACTTTGAATTCCTCATTGCTTAAAGCCCCTCATACCCTCAGTCCTTGAATAAAAACTACTGCACCATCTGTTGTGTGCTGGATTGAAGTACTTGACTTGTGTCAATAACTTTTAATGGTTAAAATTTGGTCCTTGGAGGCAAAATGGTGCAGGGAATTGGGCGCAGTGGTGTCAATTGTGTAATTACTGTTTTAATGAGCTTTGGCAAACAGAGATCACCTCATTCGCAGCACCTTCAGTGATGAGCCCAGGGTGTTTAGAGTGGGCTTACCACTGTAATGTGAATTCACAGGGCTTGAAATGTTACACCTCCCTTTGCAGCTGGGCTGCATCTGCAACGCTGTTGTCTCCACCGTAAAAATTGGCCTGCATACTCCTACGAGTGGTCACCCTCTTTTTCTGCAGTTTGCCTAAACAAAACACGCTCCCGTTAATATTTATGTCTTCATAGCTAAGTGTCACTTTCATTGTCAGCTATGACATGATGCCTGCAGGCCGGTTGCAGATAAATCAAGCGAAATGAAGCACTTATGGCGCTTTGAAAACAGGTCATGTGGTGGTTAAATCTGCAAATGTTCACCCACAATCCTGAAACATTCCCAAGTATTGTATTCATCATGGCCTTGCAGGAGAAGGGCCCTTGGAAGGAGAGAGTGGTGATGAGTAGGAAAACACCAGTAAGTTGCAGATGTGGGAAACTCTGCAGGGTACTGGGGGGTGAGAGGCAGCGGGTTGGGATGGGGCAGGGAGGGAGCTGAGCTAACCCCAGCCTGCCTTCTGGCTGGGCCAATGGGCCATGGTAATTAGATCTGGCCAATGTGGGCCCTAGGCTCCGGCCTGGGGGCATATAAGGGGGGCCCAGGGCAACAGACCCCTCATATCACTCAGAGGTCTCCTCTCTCTCACCCCACTCCTCTACCCTCCTTACTTCCTTTGTGCCCATCTCTCCATCCATTCAGACTTCTTTCTTCAACACACTATGGACGTCTTTTCACCATCCCAGGTCTACTACGACAGAGCGTGCACTTCATCTCCAGACAGCCTGGAATTTGGCCCCGGAGAGCTCACTGGCTCCGAGGAGGATGAACACGTCAGGGTCCCCGGAGCCCCTCACCAGCCGGGACACTGCCTCCAGTGGGCCTGCAAGGCCTGCAAGCGCAAGTCCAACTTTGTGGACCGCAGACGGGCCGCCACCATGCGTGAGCGCCGGCGGCTGAAGAAGGTCAACCATGCTTTTGAGGCTTTGAGGCGCTGCACCTCGGCCAACCCCAGCCAACGTCTGCCCAAGGTGGAGATCCTGCGCAACGCCATCCAGTACATCGAGAGCCTGCAGGACTTGCTACATGAGCAGGTGGAAAACTACTACGGCCTGCCTGGAGAGAGCAGCTCGGAGCCTGGGAGCCCACTGTCCAGCTGCTCTGATGGCATGGTAAGAACTCTGATCCACATGTTCTGCCTCTTCATGCCAACATCTGGTTGTGTGGAGTCTTGCAGGCCTTTGCTGCAGCTCTAAAACTGATACAATGTCAGGCAGAGAAATAACTACAACTGCATACAAGACAGAAACTTCACTTGAAAAGGCCTTTAATGTTGACCAAAGTATCTCCAGAGTCTTGCGTTTAATCCAATGCACCATTGCCATTTCTCATTACTGTGTAGAGGATTTCATTTCCAAATAGAGACAGGATTTCCAATTTAGAAACCTATTAATCAAATCAACTTTTCTTGCCCCAAGACCTCAATTACCATGGTTCCCCATGCATGTCATACTCTCCTGAATTCTTTAATACAAACATCTATTCAGTAGTTTTACACGTATCTCTCTCCTCTGTTATTAGTAGTCAGGATTAATTAATTGTTCTCGACAACAGTCTGAAAGTGAGACAGTGTATCAGCTAATACAAAAGAACTTATAATGCTGGATGGAGTAATGGCTTTCCCACCACCGGACACTTTATAGCCCTAATAAACCGAACTAAATCCACCTTACTGAAGTCTGGCAGGAAAAACTGGGCGCTTTTCTGCATTCCATCCTGACTGCATGTTCTGCAACGCTGCCAGGATTTTCTGCAGATTTACTTGGAGAAAGTGTCATCTTGCACAAACTGGTGTTGCTTCCACTGATACAATCGATTCGCCACGCTCAGACCCGGGCAGGGGAAGGGAGTGCACACTGCCACTTTGGCTTTAAGGTGGATGTGAAATAAAGAAGCCCATAACTTTGGAATTTAGGATTTATTAGCCTGTCCAGCAAATCATGAAGGGCATTGGATGTTTTTGCCCTTTTTCTGCTTCTTCCTAGCCCATATATATTTATACAAACATAACACATCATTTCTGTTCCCTGTGCTGTTTTTGGTGGTGTTTTTTTTTTTTAAAGAATTCAAGGGTAAATTTTAGTTCTCATTTTCTTGCAGGTTGACAGCAACAGTCCAGTGTGGCAACAGCTGAATGCAAACTACAGCAACAGTTATTCATATGCGAAGAACGGTAAGACCTTTTGACAGCAACAGCAGCCTGATATGAATATGACATGCATTCGTGACAGCATAGCGCTTTAAAAATCTAATAACTGAATCACTGAATGCTGGATTATTTCAAATTTATATTGCATTCTGCCTCTGGGAGTCCTATAGTTTCAGGATTTAACTGTTATAAAATGAAAGACCTGATAAAACATTTAAATGAAAATGTTTTTTCATAAACTAAAATGCTCTGTGTCTAGACATGTCATGCATTTCTACACACATCATACAAGTTATATGTGGTATTATGTTTACTAAAGTTATCCCTGTATTTAAATCTTGACTCTGTCTTCCTCTTATCAGAGAGTTTGTGCGATAAGACAGTCGGAGCCTCCAGTCTGGAGTGCCTCTCCAGCATCGTGGACCGTCTGTCCTCGGTGGAGTCCAGCTGCGGACCGGCAGCTCTGAGAGACACGACCACCTTCTCCCCCGGCAGCTCCGACTCGCAGCCCTGCACGCCGGAGAGCCCCGGATCCAGGCCCGTCTACCACGTCCTGTGAAGGAAACTTGGCTTTGACGTGGATTTGTTGCCACAGGCGGGCAAACAGCAGCTGCATTTGCAACAAGAGATAAGAACTAGTTTTGTGCAAATCTGAAGGTGACTCAGCTGAATCTGAGGACCTGTGGCAAGCAGCTTTTATATTGTACATGAGATTGTAAATATGTAATGTAAATGCCCATTTATTCTATACATGCTATATACCCAATGAGACATATTTAATTATGACAGTTAATGTAATGTTGCATTATTCCAACATGAAGTGGTATTTAAGCGGTTTGAATTTCTTACTTTCCATGTTGTTGTGAACATTAAATCTTTCACTGTTTTGTATAAAACGTCCATTTCTTTCTGTTTCTTTGTGTTCAGATATGTCATGAATCATCTTGTTAATGCAGAAGGAAAAACTAGCTAAAATAGTGACAAAATTAACAGAGATTTGTGTTAATCACTCTTAAGACACCACATTATCAATGTCAAGTTAGACACATCAGTATGACACCAAAAACTGTTGACTAGCTCACACTATTTTACAAGATTTTTTTTTACAAGAAATGAAACAGGCCCTATTCTGCAAACACACAGAGTAACACATCATCCAACAGTTACCATCATTGTAATACTTAGGCTATTCGTTTTTTTCCCCCAAATGCATGATGTGCTTTTACTACAACAACTAAATTAATCATCCAAGATAGCAGTTTCCTGCACATTTTACCCAATAATGACTCCAATAAAAATGGTTTGATCACAATAAAAGGGCAAGTTATTTATTATGTGTCAAGACATGTCTCACGCAGGGCTCGTCCCCGACAGTCCAGACCGTCTCCAGCTAACAAGGTGTGGAGATCACATTAGAAACTGATAGAGGTCAGCTGATACCATTAACCATTTGACATTGCTGTAATCACTCATGTAGCCTACTGCATATGAGTCATTCCAGCAATGTGAAAGTGCATTTTTCTCCTTCTGAAATATGTTTTTCTGTATCATTGGAAGGATTTTTAAACAAATTAAAAATGCACATTTTGTCTTTGATCTCTTTAGATGTGCCTGGGGAGTGTGTTTAGGGGTGGGGGGCAGCTCTGTGTGTGTACCTTTCCTTCCAAATGTGAGTCATTATTAACACCCTTGATTGTACCATCAACACCAGAGTAGAGAACAAATGGCCTCTAATTGTACTTATTGTGTGACTGAGGGGGAGGGAGGTTACATGCAGTGTGTCATACTGCATCATGTGTTTCATCACGCTGTAAGTGAGCAGTATTTTTGTTGTTTATACTATATTCTACATGGCACTATACTTCCTAATCACAATATTTCTACTGAAAATCTATATTTCCCCATTATTACATTCTCTGCTCTTTGAATCATATTTCTATTCCCATTAAATCTTATGCTTTTATGTGCTCAGTCTTTGTTAAATTAGAAATAAAGAAAAAATATACTTTTCAGATATTCTCCAATATCAGTTTTTCTTTGTGCTTCTCCTCTATCACTCCGTTTTATTCTGGCTAAATATATTATATTTTGCTCTGGTCTTGAGCATTATATTCCTGATTGCTGTTTTTAGGAGAATTAGTGCCATGTTACTCAGATTTCTAGTCAGCAGTGGTGAAAAAAGTATTCAAACCCTTGAGTGAAAGTACTCCATTATGCAGGCTGCAAGCATTGTGTACTAGATTATTATTAATGATCCATCAAGCAGCCTTTTCTATGCTGTAGCTCAACAGTAGGCTATTTTCTAAAACTATGTTATATACTGTTGGGCAGTTTAATAAAAAAAATTACATAATATTTTTCTTATTTATTTCATTATCTAGTTTCTTGGGCACACCAGGCTAAAACTAATGCTGTTTAAGACATCAGCCCAGTAAAAAATCCTCCCATAATCAAGGTTACAACAGCTTTAGAGAGGTGTTGATTAAATTTTAAGGTCCTTTTTGAGGCCGTAATTTGTCTGTTGAGTTGTATTGTGTTCTTATATTTAATTACCCTAATGCTGTTGTGTGAGACTGCACTACTGTTAGCTATGAATGCCTGATAAAATGGATAAATGTAGTAGAGTAAAAAAGTACCATATTTCCCGGTATATCCCAGCAAGATACAAAAAAACAGCTCATTATGCAGAAAAATGGCCCATGTGTTTGTGTTTTACTATCATATATTTTTAATTAGAATACTATTGTCAATGCATTCACATGTAAGTAGCATTTTACTGTTGTAGCTGGTTGAGGTGGAGCCATCTTGTTTACAGTTGGGTGGCTTATTCTACATTACTGCATTATATCTTGTTTGACATGTAAAATGTTCTGTATTTGAGTTGAAGTATAAAGTAGTATATGTTGAATTACTTATGCAAAGTGCCTCAAAGTGCAGTAGCCCACTGGTCTAGCCAGCTAAAAAATGTTAATGAAGTTTCACTTGGAATTCAGTTAGCAGGTGAGATATTGCCTGCAAATGAGTCAAGTATTAAAAAAAACTTGCAATACTGATTTCATTTATTTCAAATATACATCAGTCTGTCCAGCAGCACTGTCATATTCCACCACTGGAGAGGAGCTCAGAGTGTCTCTCTGCTACAGTTCTATGAAACATTGTGGACATTCCAGCAGCGGCTTGTATTTCACTAACCTCTCCGGCTGTGTGCGACACTCCAAATGTCACTCATGTCATTTTTCCGTGGCTACACTGTGGTTGTGATTCATAAATCGCTCACTCACTGAGCCTGGAGTGTCAACACAAAACACAGTACGGGTTCACATCAGGGTTGTTGAGGTCGGGCATGAATTCAGGCGAAATGGGAGAGAGAGAGAGAGAGAGAGAAATGTTTGATCTAATTTTCATTGACATTTTTTATTTAATTTGAATCTTGACAGAGAATGAACATTACTAATAAATTGACTAATGGCTCAAAGGCAAGCACAGTCATGACTGTAGTACTCAATGAGACCACAAGAGAGAGGTGTTTCTCGTATTTCATACATCAACACTTGACCTGTCATATTCTGTGTCTGGATTTTAATGGTCAATATAAAAGAGCAGGTTTGAAACCCAGGGAACTATTTACAGTCTCTGAGTAATAACTTTGTGAATCTGGAAGGTAATTCAAACATTTTCTCATATTTGAGAGGATCTTATAATGAATGCTTAAATGGGGTCTCTTTGGAGAATTAAACCTGCCCTCTGGCAAAATGTGATGTTGTACAACTGTCTGAGCAAAGAACTGCAAAGACAGAAAATGAGCCGATATAATGTAGTTACACGTCTTATCTAATGCTTAAGCATACATTAAGTCTGAAGCGTTTTTTATTTGCTCGGCTGATATTTTGATGATAGGCTATTACCGCTTTCAGTGTTGATTCTTTGGCTTAAGGGGTTTAGAGAATCTAATCGCGATAGAGTGTAGATAAGAATGTAATTTGCTCCTGGATGCATTTAGCCAACAGGGTTAGAGTGCAGGACGGTGTCATGGAAGAGGATAGAGGTCAAGTATCAAGTATCTATTCCCAATTCCCAACAAATATATAATATTTACCACAGTAAAAGCCCTATAGTTTTATTTAACATGAAGCATTGTCCTAGTCTCAGACCAACAACCCTACTACAAAAACTTGAGGGACCTCAGTTTTGAAATTCCAGACAATACAGACACAACAGTGCTGGATAACCCCATCCCCATGTGTTCACTCAGAAGAGAGATGTGATTATCCTGTTGTGCGCTCGAAGCCTTGTTTATCCATCCAAGTGTGATGGATCGCACACAAACACCCACACGTAATGACATGTTTAAGGAAATTCTTACACAAACAACAGCACAAATAAACACACAACACACAATTTTAGACCCAAAAACCTTCTCAGTTAACACTGCATAGATGTTACGTATCTGCTGATCGTGTTAAATAATCAGTCATCTGTAAAGTGCACATTTATTTCTTCTCTTTTAAGAACCTTTTCATGACTTTTGGGGCTCTTTTCTCCTTTTTTTGGGCAAATAATTCTCGTATCTTTTCCTGAAACATAATTGTGTTTCTATGTGTATGAAGACTTGGACAAATATAAAACTACTGGTCACAAAGGAAAAGAAATAGTCAAACAAATATGCATCTATCTTCCATCTATCACTTTCCCCTTTGAAAATGGACTCCAGGATATTAACTAGTATCCCTGACTGCCTCCATCGCTGTCTGGTTACAGCAGTTGCACCGCCCTCAACCGTAAGACTTTACAGAGGGTTTTGAAAACTCCACAGCACATCACCGGGACGGAGCTGCCATCCACGGAGAACCTCTACACTCAGCGGTGCAGGAAGAAGGCCAACAGGATCATCAGAGACCCCAATCACCCCAGCCACGCCAGCTGTCTGGTAGACGGTACCGCAGCATCTGGTCCCGCACCACCAGGCGCAGGGACAGCTTCAGCCCACAGGCTAAAAGACTGTTGAACTCACAAGCTTATCACTGTGACACTTTACCTGCACAGGTTGAGTGTACCAGTGAAGTTAAGCTTTACCTGTATATCACTTTTACTTTCTGTATATATATAAACACACAAGCTGTTTAACCATTACAGTTTTATGTGCACTACCTGTCCACATCATGTTTTTACTGTCCATAACCAGTTCTCATTACACATATACATTCACTACATTACTATACAACCTTTCAACATTACAGTTTATTCATTTTATTATTACTTATTATTACCCCTGTATCACAGTATTTTCTTTTCTTTTCTTTTACATATACTGTATGTATTTTCATATTGTGTGAGTATCATTGGATGGAGCCTGAGAACTAAGAATCTCATTGCCAACAACTGCTTCACTCAGATTGTTGTGTGTGTGACCTGACCAGCTGACATGTGTTTTTTCATTTTGGATCAAACTTCATATTGAAGACATGACAACACGGTTATAAGCTGCAGCCCAAGTGATATCACCGTTAAGATGCATGAAGAATGGAAGTGTTAACACACAGTTTTCTCAGTGCTATTTCAGGGCGAGTAGGTGTAGAGAGAAGATTATAAAGTACATCAAGAAGGGGCTGAAAACAGTTTTCACACTTTTAATATATTAATAAGTGTTACTTAGAGAAGCTGATGAGAATATGAATATTGTTTAATCATCCGTGCTTTGACTCCAGTATATCAGAACCGTTGATGAACTTATTGTCATCATCATGGCGACTATACGTGATCCTGAAGGTGCTACTTTCAGGCTCTCTGTGCTCCTGATTAACAGCCGCAGACACGGGTGAGGGATTTGTCACCTGCATTAATGTCACCTGCACTCTCTGGTTTTGTCACCTCAGGCTTCGGTCATTTGCGGTACAATTGGCTATTTGGGGTGGAGAACAGCTCTAACGGGGATTTTATTGTACGACACGTTGCCGGTGAAGAAACAGCACTGCTTTGTGCTTCTACTGTCGCCGTTTGGGCTAATACCTTCCATTTACAAGAGTCTTTTTATTAGTTTCAGTGTCTGCGCTTTGTATTGAGCTAACAAAAGGGCATTGACTTTCTGTTCCAGGGCTAAAAACCTGGATGAGCCTTCAGAGGAACATTTTAGTACAAAAGATTTAATCACTCCACCTTCAGCAGCTGCACTTAGATCACTGAAAGGGAATTAGTGACTAGCTGTTGTGTCATTGTGAGAAAACAAAATACATCTACAGGTCTTTATGTGTGCTACATGCTACCATATTTTTGCCTATACAGTAATTGTTTAGAAGGTACCTGACTGGGTATAAAGCTGTTGAAGTGTGAGGTCATGTCCTCTGTAATTCTTCTCAGAATTGAGTTTTAGTAACCTGAGCGGAGTTTATGTTCTACAATTAAAAACCTACCCATAGTGAGTATTTTATGGGAAGATTCCTGTATTTTAAGACACAATATACTTAAATTCTACTACTTCTAAGCTGTAACAAGAAAGCAGACCTGCAAGCAGGTTCTGGGGTCTAAGCAGCTAAGCCAAAAGGTGAAAATAAACAGGTGATTTAACATGTTTGTCTGTGTGATCGGACATATTGAGACCCAGATCTACTATTCCTCTGGGGTAGGGCTTGGAAATAGCTTGGACAAAACAGCCCTAACCATCAAACCAAGTTATATTTCTGCAAATTGCTGGTGCTCCTGTTCATAGTCAACTAAATACTAACTGATAACATAAAGACATAAAGAAGGGTCGACAAGGCGTTCACTGTACACAAGCACATAGATTTATTTATACAAATATAGTATGTATAACAATTGCATATCAACAGTTTGTTGTCTTTTTTTTATCTTTACGGTAATTACGGGACCCTCAGCTTCAAAAATGTTAAGTCAATTAAGAAAGAGTACCTGTGATTTAAAGATACAAAAAGGGATCTGTTGTATTGAGATGTTCTGCTTGAAGAGTGAGCGATTCAAAAACTTTTGAATAACCCGAGCACAGAGGTGACCTAATGGAAAAGCTTTAGCATTAACTGACCTTAGTGCTAGCAGGTTATTTAGTAAAATGACAATATCTGGCAGCGTGGCACGTATTATGCTGGACTTGTGCAATTAGATGTAGAGAATTAGTCATGTAGATCAAAATTGAAAATTAAATCCTCACTTTCTGTCAATAAATCTGCAACATTTTCATGAAAACTTAACATGCGGCATCTGGATGGTCTCTCCTTGGGGGGAAAACAGAAAAATCCTCTAGCATACAGGAAGTAAATGCGTTTTATGCTTGGGATAAACAGAAGAAGAGACAGCCTAAGCGGTAAAACCTGCATTGGTTGAACAAAACAAAGAAAAGAGCGCCACCTACAGAAAATGAAATAAGAACAGAAAGAAACAAAACACACGAAGAATCGACAAAGAAAAGTGATTTCTGGGAAGTGCAGGGCAAACAAAAGGAAACAAGGAGCGCTTAGCACCAAAGATGGAGATGATAGGAAAGTAAACACAGACCTGGCGGATTTACCACTTTAGCTCTGCTACTGGGTTGGTAGAGAGAAGTTTTAAAAACGGAATTTTCTGTTGTCTCCACAGAGGAAAAATTATTGTCAAAACAGAAAAACGCGGGGGAACAGATCTACATGAACAATGTGCTAATATTCAGCTGTTATACAATGAAACAGATTTCAAATAATAATCTTAGAAAGAATACATCATATTTAAAAAGGAACAATAAAACTTCATGTTAAAATCTCTGGTCTCATAAACTATAAAATAGACACGTCTGAAAAATAAACATAATTCTAGCAATATTTTGATTTAATTCCCACTCAAATGAAAACTGGTGACATTCTCTTTGTCTGTCGGGAATAGGACGCAGTTGACATTTCTCAGGGTTGGTTCGTTAAAATCTCTCGCTAACATATATCTTCTGGATAAATCTCAGTTGGGAGTAGCTTACAAAGCTGATCGCAGTTATTGCACATTAATTGTTCATGCCACCTGGAAATCAATAATCTCTTCAAATGGCACATAGGATAGATTTGGACAAAGAAGCTGCCTTACAGTACATAAGACCCAGTTTTGCTTTACAATGATTTACATTTGCACCTATGCCATAAACTTTGTATATATGCATGTATCCGATCATGAATTTAGTGGTGAAATGTAAAAACAGAAGAATGTGTGTTATTGCTAAACCTACAAGATACAAAAAATCTTTCCTGCTACAATATAGAAGGTAAAAAAGAGTTCACGTTTATCCAAAACAGGACAAGTTCGACACACAAAAAAAGAGAAAAAACCAATGGTCATTCATACGGAGACACAAGCACCAGTTGAGGAATCAATAGAAACACCACTGTACAAATGATATCTATGGCAAAATGGCAGAGGTGCCACGGTGCGATGGATGTTCGGTATAAGCAATCAGAAATGGATGACTGTAAACAAAACGGCAAACACAAGAAAGGGAGTTCCAGTAAGAGTCACAACCGGGGAGAACAACTTATAAAAGGGAATACAAAGTTAAAATGGACAACTTTCAGTGCTAGCCTCCCTCACACTTGTTTTTCAAAGCACCAATTTCAGGACAAGCGGCTCTCTCTTTGTTTTTGCTCAGTAATCGGTGGTACACTGGAAGGGAGAGAGTAAGTAAAAGAGTCTTCTACTTGTTGGTTTCCTCCACGCCGGAGAGATTCCTTTGGGATCCTCAACACAAACAGATGGTCTTTGAGATCCACCCTTTTTTTTTCTCGCTTTCCTTCACTTCTTCTTCTTTTGGAACAACCTGCAGATCATAAAAAAACAGACTGAGAGCAATGCTTTAGAGCTCGCCCACAGATGAGACTTAGATGTTTTTCATCTGTGTTATCAAACTAATTATATATTTCCTGATGATTTTACTAAATGATTGTAGCTTTCAATTGCCGTTTGATACTCATACCAGCATCAAATCCTTGCAAATCCATTATCGCTCACTTTGAACATGTACAAAAGATCACTTTGATGTTCTCTTCTGAGTTTGTGTACATATCGGGCTTGCCAACTCTTTTGGCGTGACAAAAGCCATCATTATGTTACGCCATCATGCTACCCATATGTCATGCCAAACACAAGGAAGCCACAAAGTTATTCCTTAATTAAAATCACACAGTAGCTCACCGCGTACCCTTCACACATAAAGCAACGTGTAAGCTTTTGCCACTTTAAAAGCACAGAGATGACAGGTACCAGCAATCACGTGTGTTTTCTCACCTGGGTGGTCGGGTGTAGCCTGCTTGTGCTAAAATTCCTGTGAAATCCTGTGTGGATTCAAACATTTCATTTGATGTGTACATGTTGTTAACGCTTCTGGTGTTACATTCCTACTGTTCTTACACCTTCTTAAGTGTTGCTAATAGATTTTAATGGGAGAAAAATATACATTCCGATAGAATTGGTACAGGTGGTACACACTGGGGGAAGGTAATGTGTGTCAACAGGAAGTATAACAATTTATTTATTAAATGAACTATATATCTAGCTCTTCTGGTACCTCTACTTCCTCTTTTTGCTCTTGTCTTTCCCCTGGGAAGGTAAGCATATTCTGCTGAGTTGCTTGCAACGCCAGAGTGCAGAGAGAGTGGTAGCTAGTGTGGGGGCATTTAGTGACTGCTCACTGTGTTACACATGCACAGAGAGCATTTATGCAGGAGAGACCCCATGAATGCTTTGTTTTTGCTACAATTATAGGGAGGTTATGTTTATTCTATTGCTGCTGCCTTGCAATAATTTGCTGAAAGACAGACCCTGGGAACCACAATACAACACAACTCAGAGTTATACCCACTGCACACGCTCTAAAAAATGTGGGGTGATACATTTTCTGACAACAGCAGTGAACTTTCGGAAGCTACTTATTGATCAGGAGCTCAAAGCCATCGTCAATCTCCCGCTAGTTATAATCTAAGGTTAGCATGTGGTGGACAGAGAGAGGAAAGAAGACACAGACAGAGAGACAGTGACACAGAGAGATGAATACCAGGCAAACCAGTGGCGTATGCTGCATTCTTGTCTGCTTGTGCGTGTCACTTGGTCAGCAGCCTCTTGGCCGCCGAAGCAAATCTCTGCGGTCAGCATGCCGGCATTGATAAAACATGATCCCTGCTCAGTTCCCTGTCTGTAGCTCCACTGCAACACACTGTTACAAGCTCCTAAATACCTTCCCAAGCTGCACTGTGCCAAGTGCAAGACAACAGATACGCTTGGGGACTAAGCATCAAACGGGCAGTGCCACAGTGATCTTGGACACATGCCTGCCACCATTACGTCAGGGAATAATTCGAGAAGTCTGTGCACAATTAACCGTAGCATGATATGATGTAGCTTGTCTGAGTGTTGTCTGAAAAGTTTCTTCTTCCTTTTAAGTTTTGCTATTTTCACACAGTGAAAGTGTGAGTTTGTGTCTTAGTGTCACTGGCAGTGCAGAGCTTTGTTCTAAATTTGGACTGTATAAATATTGTCTAGCAGCAGAGGTATGTAGAACCTCCATCCAGCTATAGCTTCCAAGTAACAGCATTGCAGGGTCTATCTTATCCACGAACCTGCAGAGCAGGAGCCACAGATGTAATCGTTTTAAGCTTGAATAATTTACAGCCCTTACAACCGAATCACTGGCAGAACACAGCAGAAGCAGTAATGTTTGCACAGAGGATACCAGCAGCTAAGTTTGCACTGGGGTATAAGGCTTCGTGCTGGGATGTAAATGCCTGCTACCTGCACACAAGCCAATAAAAGTAGCTGCATGGCAAGGCAAAGCAGAGCATGGAGTAGAAAACTCTTCACCTCTCCCCATTTATATTCCTTTGCTGTATGCTTGCAAAATGTTACTTTTTACCATTTCAGCAACTCTGCATTTAAATTACAAAGTGCTTAATAATCAATAAACTCAAAAAATGGACCAGATGACATAAAATAAAATGAATATAATAGAATTAATGAAGCAAGGAATAAAGTACATAAATAAAAAGCCATATTATTGATTTCTTACTTTAAAAGTAATCTGTATCCACTATCCCCTTTTGATTTGTTTTAATACATTCAAATCCTAAAATAGCATACATATCAGATCAAATACTGTCTGTCAAATGAAAAAAAAAAAAAATCAATGTTGAAGCTCAAAGATAATCTGTGCTCATCTCAATCTGACCTTCCAGATCCAAATCAGGCTCAGCTGTCCAGACTGGGACTGTAAACAACAGTGAAGCAATAAGCCACAGGAGACAGTGTTATACAGTGATTTTACAAGAATTAAGAGCCTGTTGTTAGCTGAAATGTTGACTTTAAAATAAAATTTAAGTCAATGTGAGTAATTGACCATACTTGCTGTTTTGAGTAAAATTGATGTTAAAAGATTAGTTTTGACATTTTGGGGAATACACTTACATTAGGTTTCTTGCAGAGAGTTAGATGAGAAAATTGATTCTAAAATCTGTCTGCTAAATATGAAGCTACAGCCTGGAGACACTTAATTTGCTTTAGAATAATGATTGGAAGCAGATGCAAAACAGCAAAATATCTACCTACCAGCACCTCTAAACTGTTTTAATTGTTTTCAGTGCTATCCAAACTATTACTAAATATATTTCCAAACTATTTTGCTGCAAACAGCTTTCAGTCTTTATGCTAAACTATGGCTGTAGCTTAATATCTACCATCCAGATATGATACATCGATCTAACTCTCAGCAAGAAAGCAACTACTAGTACAGGTCTTTCCATAATTTATTTTCCATATGCCTTTAAAGAAGCAGCTATGTGAAAATGCGAGGCGTTAAATGCGGTTGAGGAACACTGTTCTCCAGGCGTGTTTCCAGAGGGGGGACCGGGGGTGGCACTGGCACTGAGATCTGATTGACCATCCCATTGTCCTTACCTCTGCCACTCCAAACTGTCTTTCAGTAGCTGTAGCTGTTTTAATACTAGATACTGGTAAGGCATCCATTGGTACAACTAATACTTCATGCCCCACTTGTGCCACCCCAGTCAAAAAAGTCTGAACACACCCCTGCTGTTCCCTCTCCAAGCAATATTTGTGAAGACTTCTCTCTACCAATGCACTTCGGTACTGGGACTGGTTACTCATTCATGACAGCATCCTCTTCTCTGGTGGTGTTTCACCTTGCGCTCCTGGTGTCCCGACTCCTGCCACCCCTCACCCTTAAAGCAATGAAGCGCCTCACCTACGACATGTGGTTCTGCTGAGAGGTCAGGTTCTGCTGTTGCTGCTGCTGCATGAGGAGCTGCTGCTGCTGGCGCCGCCGGGCCGTGCGGAGCTTCTCAAAGCGAGCCTCCATCTCCTCCAGCACTTTGGGGGTGTAGCGAACCACCAGCTTCACACTGTCCTTGGCTGCCTTCAGCAGCTCCACTGCTTTCTCGTGGTGCTCGCCCTCCACACTCTGCAGGGGGTTTAGAGACAGAGAGAGAGTGGAATTTCAAAGGAAGCTCATTTGAATATATATTTAAAAATAGTAACTCCTCTTAGGAAAAAAGAATACTTCCTCCATTTTTAATACCCATGATATTACATAAAAATCAGCAGGCTTACAGTCAGTGTTGTTCAAGTCTCTCTAGCGGCTGGAGAAGCGTCTGCTCCTTATTCAAGACATGTGCAGCACTTTGATCTCAAAAGCTCTCCTGACTGTTGACTCACATATCAAACTAGAAATCAAACACTTCTTTCTTATTTCAATTGAAGATATTTTTTTGGAGGCAGGCTTAAATAATAAATAAGGGCAGAAAAGCATATCTACACTCTCCCTGCAATCAATATATCGAGCATCTCACCCCATGCGCTGTATCAAAATGAAGGTGTGGGTAGACCTACCACACCATTGACAGACAGGAGCTGATCCCCTCGCTTTAGGCCACCGTGCCTCTCAGCCACACCTCCAGGGATGATGCGGGAGATGTAGATTGGTGAGTTCTGCTCCTTGCCGCCCATCACATTAAAGCCCAGCCCTTCCTCCGTCTTAGGTAGCTCCACCACCCGCGGGTGGGAGTGACCTTCGCTGGCTGCAAAGGCTGCAACTGTGGCCTGAAGGAAGAGAAGCAAGATGGGGCTTTATGATCATCACAAGGCTAACTATGCCAAAAACCCTGAAAATAACCTGTATATACATTTTCTTATTTTGAGACATTATAAATAAAACCATTGCTTTCAGCCTCCACACACTGGGTTTAATTGAACATGTGTTTTTCTGCAAAATAAAAGTGTAAGCTTAAGTGGGTACCCTGACTTAGTCTTTCTAGGCTGCACATGACCTGTCTCCTTAAGTAGGGCAAGTAGATTATCTCAAAGTCTGGCAGTTAAAAACAGATAAACTAGTGAAAACAGGTAAAATATAAAAATATGCATCACAAAGACCGTTAGATGTGGCTGAAAGCTCTGGAAGTATGTGTGCCTTTGAACTCTTGTTACAAATGATGTTCCCAGAGATCAAGAATGAACTTCAGTGCTAAAATACATATATTCTCTTTGGCAAAGCGAGATGCAATCTCAAAAACAAAGAGAATATTGTCTGTGGCACTTGAGACAACAGGTTTTATGAGAAATGTAGTCCTACTTTTGAGAAGGGCTAACACTAAACAAACCAGCGACATGAGAGAAACGTTAAGCCTAGTAGTCACTGCACTCCCTGTGTCTTTTTCTTTGTCGAATAGTGGGATCATTGTAGTCAGCTTACCTTGTATGAGTGCAAATGTTTAATTTCTTTAAACCCAACATCAACATGACAACAGTCTGGGACAAAAATGTCTCGTTTTTATTGAGCAAAAAAAGTCTTGTAGTCTGCACTAGCTTCTAGTCTTCTTCTTCATTACACTCAAAATGAAAGCAAAGGAAGAAAACCAATTTTGAAAGCATTACAAAGTGATCGTGAAGGTGGACGGCTGTAACAAAGCGTTGGGATTTAGTCAGGGCTGGGGATTTGGACTCCACATGAGAAGTTCTCTGGCTTTCTAAGCACATGGATTAACACATCCAAGCTCACGCTGGAGGAGCAGCCAGACAACTTTCACCCTCTGTATCTCTACCAGCTGGTTGATGTTGCTCGCTGGCTGTGGGATTCCTTTGAACCTCAAGCCAAGCTCCTTGCTCCTTGTACATTCAGAACAAAGCACCCAGGAGCTTGTTAGCCGAGCCTGGGAAAGCTAATGGCAGACGAACAGAGAAAGAGACACCCCGTGCCCATTGATCCACAGATGCATTGCCACAGGTGCATGGCTGTCAAGTCGGCATCATCTATGATATGTGAGGTAGATTGGTACGAGGGAGGATAAGAAAGTAGAGGAGGGGAAGTTCTGTCAACAGTTTTTTTTGCAGATGTGTATCCAAATTCCCCAGCAGCAGACAAGTATATTGGCACTTTGAGGTCTTTGACACTCCCTCCAGGCAGCATCCCCATATCTGCTCTCTCTTCCATATTCATGCATCTTCATATACACATTCATTTCTGCTCAGACCGTTTCTCTCATTTCTCTCTTCTCTCCTGCTGCCTATTTTAATCTGGTTATTGTATTCTGCCAACTTCTCCTCTTCCCCTTTTTGCTCTCTCTGTCCTTCTCCCATTCTTCCTCTCCTCCTCCCTCCCACACTGTCCCATTGTGAAGCAAAAAGGCAGCTCCTCAGCATGCATACCGTCGCCTCCCAGGCCTCACAGCACATCGACCTTCACAACTTTATCTGGCGCTCTGCGAACAAAAAAACATTCATGGCAGATGGCTTGTGTCTCTCAAACACAGGAGGCGTTTTAAATGAAATACTTGCAAGAGGAAACTTATTTTGTAACCACACTGCACTGTACAGTATAAGTATGACTTAATGTACCACTTGATCATCAGCTTTCATTATTTTCTCTGGAGCCCGTACGGCCCGTCTCCATTAAGATCAGTAATAAGGGCCCCGAGCCAGGAATTAGAGGCTGAATTGATTTAATTAATGAAGCAATCAAAGAGAATCGAATGGTTCAGGTGAAATACAAATTTCAACTGTCGGGAGATTTGCCGTCTCACTAGCTAAAGTACTCGAGAGGCATATGAGACTCGTTGGCATATTTCACACATATTTCGTCATTATTGCGACGGCAGCTTATAGACTTCATTTTCAATGCAGTATGCATCTTTTTTCCTTTCAGACTGTATGTGTGATACTGATTGAATGCAATTGGTACTGTGGCCTGGCTTAGTGATTATCGCTAAAGAGAGTGAAAAACTTCCAGTGCTCCCAGTTTTGAGTGTCCCCACAGCAAAGCCAGCTCAGGCCATTAGCTGTGTGCCTAATTGTCCAATGGATATGCAATTTTAATACAGATTTAGGAGCAGTAACTTCTTAAAGTTTGGGGCAAAGACAAAAAAAAGTAGGAAAGAGTTTTAAAGCTGCTTAAATCTTGTCTTCATGGTTGCTTCAGGCTTAGAAAACTAGAGACAGAGCCTTTTCCCCAGCTTAACCGTCACAGTTTCTCTGGAGAGAGAAAATTCCTCTACTCCCCAGTCGTTAATAAAGATGTTATTTTTTAGATCAAACAATGTTGCCCACTTGAGAAAATGACAGGAGTTATTCCAAATCCAGTAACAAATATGTAATCGGAAGAAACTGATAAGATTCTTTTCTTTGGTAACAGAAAATATGAACACTTTTCAAAAGAATCATCCAATATTGTGGCAAATACACTTATTTGCTTTCTTGCAAAGAGTGAAATGAGAATATGGATGCCACTCTCGTGTCTATGCCTAACGTACGAAGCTAGAGCCAACAGGTGATTAGCTTAGCTTAGCATAAAGGCTGGAAACAGGAGGCAACAGCTAGCCTGGCTCTGTCAAAAAAGATAAAAAATACACCTGTGTCCATACACCACAAATTGTTATATTTAATTAGTTTAAGCTGTGTGCAAACAGAAATGTGAAGAAGTCAAATTTGTGGTTTAGGAGTCACATGCTGAATGTATTATGGGTGTTTTTACATTTGTGTACAGACCAAAGAATAAGACTGTGTTAACTAGGGAGCTTCAGAGGTGCTGGAACTTTGGAGAAATGTCATCACTTCATCGTATCCCATTAAACATCTTTGTAAAATGTTGTCATAATTACTGCATCAACTGTTGAGTAACAACCAAAGACATGTTTGGCATTTTGAGGTTACGGTGACTTTTGACCTTTGAGTCGAAAGAATCATCAATTCATTGTGCAACCATTTGGTAAATATGGTCATCAATTCTTTGGTTATGGCCAAAAACAAGTTTTGTGTGTTGACAGTGACCTTTACCAGTTCATCCCCGAGTCCAAGGGGACATATCTGCCAAATTTGAGGAGATTCCCTAAAGGGGGTTCCTGAGATATTTTGTTTACAAGAATGAGATGGACGCCAAACCAGAAAACATAAGAGGCAAAGAAATGATCAATATGTCGAGCTATTCCTTTAACCAGGTGCTCAATTGCAATTGACCAGACTCTGTTGTGCTCTAGGCAGAGTGTTGGATGGGTGAGCCAACAAAACAGGAAAGATCCGGTCCGAAACACTCAAGTACAATCTCTCTGCATACAAACACAGAGACATGTTTTTGTCATCCGATTCTATTCGCATCCTCCACCCACTCTCTGTGATGTACTGGAGAGGAGTGGACCCAGCTGGACCCCTTAACCACTGAAGGACAGAGAGGTGCTCTCGTCTCTTCTCCTCCATCATCCTCATCCTCCATATGAAATCAGACAAGCCTGTCCTCTTTGTTTTCTTTCATAAAAGCCTGTGTTTCTCATAGGTAAGGTCCTGATGAGAAGTCCTGCTCAAAGGGCCGGGACAAGCTCATCTTTTGTATACCAAAATTAGGTTATTCCATTCACACTGCACCTGTGACACGCATATTATGTTTTCTAAACAGCAAGCAACAAAAAACATCTGCCTGAAATATTAAATAGTCGAGTTGAAGAAGCCCACACATAAAAAAGGATGAGTTTTTTCAATGATCAACATTTTATAACAGATACGAGCTGTCATTTAAAAAATCTGATATGAGCAGTGGATCTGGATTAAATGTCAAAGCTTGCCACATGTCTCTAGAAATAGTTTATCTTGGTTTTATTTGAATGCACACTGATCAAAAAGAACAAAATGAAGAAATCAATCTAACACAGTGAGCCTGTCAGTTGTGATAATAGCAAAATAAATATATGCTTTTATCATTTATTGTTTTACGGAGTCATTTTTCATCCAGGTTGTGTAGCAGGATATAAAGTGACATCAGTGGCGATAGCAAACAAAATGTGTGTTTTATGAGAGCAGATTAAAGATGGAAATCTAGTGGCTACTAATCTGATGATTCAGGACGAACATCACGTGGAATTGATGAGATATTTACAGCTAAAATCAAAAGCATTTAGTAACTGAAGAGTGTTGAAACATGGATGAAGAGCTGGAAATTGTAGTGGGTACATATTGAAGCAAACAGTGCTTTTAAGAAATCTGAAGATTTAACATTTTGTAATATGCTGTCAGTCTTCCTTGTGGGAAAAACTTATAAGTCTGCTTTTGATGCCAGTATTGATTACACATTTGTTTGACCTTGTTATTTTCCCCAAGCACGCTTTTTCTTTTCGAGCATTTCATTTATTGATTGCCGTTGGGATTTAAAGAGAACAAATATAACAAAAAATGCTTCTGAAATGCATGACCTGCCCCAGCTTTAACCCTCTAAGAAAGGCACGTAGGTAGCAGGGTTAATCCAAACATTGTAGCAAGATCTCCTGAACAGTGCTCGGACCACATTAAATATATTCATTCTGGTAAATCTACTGGTTTTGGATATCTGAAAGTCTTAAAGAGACGTTCTATTATTCAACCTGGGTGTTGTTGTGCTGCACTCAGGGAAATGCGGACTCTGGCAAAACAACCTAGTGTATATCAGGCGAGGCTCCTAAAGCTTTCCAAATAAACTTCAGTTTCACATAAATCATTCCTAACATTTGTCTGAGAGTCCAACCAAAAGTAAACAAAAATGTTAGCCCTCTGGATTATACACAGTTCTTGCGGGGCATCTTGTAAGCCAACCAAAGCAGCTATCTTTTCATCTGCACATGCCCGTTTGTTTACATGAGTGGGGCTGTGGGTTGCTGTGAGAAGTATTAGGAGAAAACATTCAAGAAAATCAAGTGCAATGGCTGCTTATCCAGTGGACTTCCATTTCCCTTTGCAGTTAGTTTAGTCTAATTTATAAGCCAATATCACAAATCACAATTTTGCTTGCAAGGGCTTTATAATCTGTACAATTACTGTACAATAGCTAATTCAGAGATCTAATCTTTATGTTTCAGCCGGATTTAGAGACAAGCGTTTGTAGAACTTAAGTTGTGATTGAAGCGACTGAAGTAATAGTAGTTATTTGTGTCATTGCTGTCTCAACAGCTAATCATAAAAATCAATAATGAAACTGTGGTATAGCAGCAAAAACACTCTTAAGATAGTGCTTTAGCATGTGTTATTGGCATTCAGCCGTGCGCCTTATTCCTACAAATCTGGCACTCTGATGTGTTATTGCTTAATTACACACACACTCTTAATGAGGGCCATTAGTAAAGTAGAACATACTAATTTTGTTCTGCTTTGGCCAGAAGAAAAGATGAGAAAGATACTACTGAGTAATGGGACTAACAGAAAGTTCTCCACTCATTAGCTACAGTCATATTTAATGTTTTTTTTTTTTTTATTGCAAATAATAACTGATGTAGAGATCAGATCCAGACCTCCAAAGCAGTTCTTACCTTAGCCGTGGCCCTCGCCTGGTACTCCGGACAGCCATTCACTGTAATTGTTTCATGCATGTACTGGTACACCTGAAAGAAATGAAGAGAGACAGGTGTTATAATTACGTTTCAGATAGTTGAAAACTGAAATCAGCACCCTGCGTCTAAGCTCGAACAGTTAATTTCCATAGTCAAATAATGGTGTTCGCTCACAGCTGGCTGTATGGACATGTACTGCATTAACATGCTGACTGATGGAAAACATCCGGCACTCAAGCCCAGAGTTATTGTATGCTTGTACAAATTATACTACCCCAGAAGAACTAATAAAAAAAATAAAATCTGCTTACATTTATCTTAGACATGCAAATAATATGTAAATCTCATTATTTTGCCCGCAAATGTATTTGTAGGTGAAGACATTGTAACACTAAATCCCTTTGAAATGTGAAGACAGCAACAAATCTGGTAACTGAGGAAGAGAATTTTGTCTCTCTCAGAGAAGATAAGTGAATTTTTCAATTACTGTATTAAGAATGTTTTAGGGTGCAAGGGTACCAGTCTTGAAGATTATATAACTTAGGCTCATAATTCAGCTGTATAGAGCTCTTTCTTTGTGCAGCACCTTATGCATACATTTCTTAGAACATGAGAAAGAAATTGTAACTCGTAGCTCAGGGAATGGAGGCACAATCTGTCCTCGACTTTATAAACAGCACAAAAAGACTCCAGAACAGGCAGTAATACATCACTGCTGGGCCTGAATTGGTGCCAAGATATGGGCTGCTGTACTGTATGTCCAGTTGGGTGAAAAACAAGGTTCTACCTATTCGCTGAGGCAGACAGAATCGATGCAGACAGCTGACCTTTACAGTTAAGACGTGCCTTTTAAAGACACTTTACAACTGAACTTGTTCAAAGAGTAAAAGAGAGAAGACAGTGGTGTGTGATGTGCGGTTAATATACTGTAACACAAAAGTACTAAGCGTTTCAAATATATGTCTAACCAGTCTGTACTGCAGCTTTCAGATTTTAAAGGTGCAATATGTAAGAATTGGCGACATGCCAAATTATCGCTAACAGTAGCTGCCATTAGCAGTGCAGCTAGCCTATTAGCTGCATATCTGTCCATGAGCTGTGCATCGGTGGAGTGTTGGTACAGGAGCTTTGGACTGCCAGGAAGAAGCGGCTTTTAGGCCCAGCGGAATATGCTGGTGCTGAAATGAGCACCAGAACCAGAGCGGGGTGAGCGGACAATGGAACCTGGCTCAGCAACCCAGTCAACACGGCCACACTGAGACCAAACACAGCCTCCGAGACCAAGGCCAGTTCAACAAGAGGTAACACAGTACGTAGTACAGTAAGACATGGCGGGATCAGGCTGGGACAAGAGAGGCGGGATCAGGCGGGGACAGGAGAGGCGGGATCAGGCGGGGACAGGAGAGGCGTCATGCAATCAATCATCTTAGTGATCTAAAGTCAAAACTGTCTTCACATTGTTGATAATCTTTGTAAATTTTTGAGTCAAATATGCCTTTTCCCACCAATGCTGAAACTAAATAATGAACAACACGTTCAGGAGGATGAAAATGAAAGTTTAAAATGATTGAGATGTATGGGCTGGTTACAAAAAAAGTCTCAGAGGAAATGTGTTTGCTCAGTCGTCAACTCACTCAATAAATCACATAAATTACCAAGCACAAACACATCTATTTGTTTTAATGTTACATTTATGGAAGTTGCAGTTAATTGAGCAAATGAGCGATCAAATTTTAATCAGAGTAATGATACTGCACATTTCTCAGAGCAAAATAAACTAAAAACTTGCCTGTGACATATCAGATGTTGTGGCTCAGAAATGAATTTTAATCATCTGTTTCCACTCACTAGATGATGTCTCTCATCAAAGCATGGCAGCTTGCCTGGAAGCGAACGCGCCGGGTAGCTTTGACGTACCACAGTACAACGTTACAAAGGCCTCGCTTCTGTGAATCATCAAAAGCATGTATACTTATAGGGTACAAACCCTGAGATATTTGCATGTAAAGATCTCAGGGAGGGGGGAAAATATCCCTGAGCTTCTGTTGTCTTGTTTGCTCATGAATCTCAAAGACCGAATGAGCGGCTTTTGAGAGTTCAGCTCTACATTTCAGACTGCAGCACGTTTTTTTTTTTTTTTTTTAGATTCATAGTGCTGATGCATTCGGAGAAATGGAGGCTGCAGTCCACACAGACACTCAACTCCCAAATGACACCTTCTTCTAAGGCCTTCTTCCACCTTTGGACTTTTTGAGGCTGAGCACAGCTTTATAAATGCCATAAAAGGTTTTCCTCGCCTGGGTCTGCCTGCAGAGGGGCTTCTTTTCTCCCTTTGTTATCCTCATTCCAAACACTACTGCAACAGCTAATTACCCGTATGTATTCTACCTGCAGCTGTCTCTTATTCTTATTCAATTCAGACATGAAAATTGTAACATTGCTGGCTTCATCTATCTGTTAAAGTAATGGCTTTTAGGCCTTCATACATTGGTTTTTACGCAAATGTTCAGTAATGGCTCTTTTCAAACACATTGGGAGTGTTACAGATAGCGCTGCAATGCTCACACGATGTTTGGCATCTAATATGTGATAGGGAGCAGTGGCACAGCAGTGAGTTAAATATGAGAGTTCTCAGTTCTCTCACAGGGTGCATCAGTGATGGATTTTATACTTACTTATTTTGCAGTTGAAAGCTTAATTAATAACCACTGTGAGCTCAGGGGAAGCTGTCTTCTCACCGGCAAATACCCTAATAAATTACTGCATTCTTTTCTCATTTATTATAAGAAATCTATTCTTCTGCTCCCTATTTTATACAATCTGACAGTGCACAGTTAAAAAATAACAAGACATTAGGTTGTGAGTCTCCTCTAAAGGTGAGATGTGCGATTCCAAATCAATACACAATACAATACAATACACGTTTGTTTGTGGAATTCAGCGAATATCTCCTCACAGTCCACCAGCAGTGCATTCTGCTGAAAAAAACCTGGAGGTTGTAGACAACCCTGGCTCTGTAAGTGGGAAACAAACAAGTGGTTCAGACCGAGCACCGCAACAGTATTCCAGCCATGATTTGTGTGTCAGGTAACATTAATAGCTTGCCCACAGACATGCAGCTTACTTTCTACTTTGCCAAGATATGCTGCTGTTGTGATGTTAGCTATAGCAGGAGAGTTGTGAGCATAGCTATCTGGAACTTGTGTTCTGGCTTTAGCAAACTGTTTTTTGATCTCTGCATGTCAAATTTTTTGACAGTTTGTAAACCCACAACCTTGCTTACATTACAGTTCACAGATTACTTGCTGTGTCACTGTTGGGTCTTTTGATTACACCAGAAATGCATTCCTCACCCTTAAATCCTGTGTTTTTTCTGTTTTTTTGGTGGTTTAATACTGTCAGGGAGGATGGTTTTCATATTATAAAACCATAAAGCTCCATTAATGTATTTTTTAGGTACATTGGTGTAACAACATAAGAAACGATAACTAGGCTAACTGAGAATACTGTGCTCTAAAGGAGGCAAACAAGATGCACATTTAATATCTCTCTACCTGAATGCAGTGCCCTGAATAACAGAGCCACGACATGGAACAAATAGCTGTGTTCTCTTGAATGTCAGTCTGCTCTTGTTGTGGCCGCACTTTGCTCTAAAAAGGCCAGTTGTCCCGCAGGCATCATTTCAATTCTCCTTCTGCTTTTTCCTTTTTGCCAGACGTTTTCACTGTCCGTCCCTAAAACAATGACACCTCCAGTCCACCCTTTCCTACATGTTTTCTTCTTGCCTGGTTCATCACAGTGGTTCATGATGAAACACATACACGAACACGCACTATTCATGATAAGATACCGACACTGGCGCCTAGAAGGAGGACGCCAACAAAGCGAGAGAATGGAAAGAGATGCCTGAGGGGCAAACTGACGTGACGACGCTGCTTGTAACCATGGCTTCCTGCTTCCTCTACTGAGTCAGAGAGACGGAGAGGATGAAGGGGGATGGGTTGATGTTGTTGGGAAGGGATAAAAAACCAGCACAGGACTTAACAATACACTTTCCCTCTCGGCGGTACTAACCATGACACAGAGTGAAAATACTGAACTTGCACGGACTGACTTAATGTACTTTTCATCCTTTAACCTAACATGTGGGAGGCAGAGGCATTGTGATGGAATCAACACAAATCTGCCACCCTCGCTTGCTTTTGCCTTTCTAAAAAAAACCCCCCCACAGTCAATTACGTTGATTGAAAATCTCTGCTGAAGTGGAAAATCAACTGCAATGTTAAAGCTGATAAAATATGCGATCACTCTGGCCTGCTTTTTGCACTTCCTGTGTTAGTCAAGTGGGACCCTCTAACCCAATATACTGCGAATTCCCACTCTCCATCATTTCCAGCTGGTTAGCTCTTCCAGTCATTTCGTCTTGTGTCCTTCCTTTCCCATTTGCAAGGCTGATTGCCCCTGACAACTCATTCAGGCTGATGCAGTGAGACTAACGTGCAGACCCGAGATCCCCTCCCCATGTCATTGATGAACGTGGCTGGGAAAGACAACCAGCTCATCAAACTTTCCCTCTTTGTCATTTAGCCCAACACTGCTGAACAGACTGTTTTCCCCTGCCGTTCATTCTTCATATTGACAGGCGGCCTGTCATCTTTAACAAGGCTGATTCATGTTTTGTAAATTCTATTGACGTAGAGTACAGGATCAGGTTTGGTGGTGGACTTAACAGCAGGATTTTTACTCTATAGACAAGATTAGTATGTCCATCTTGTCAGGCTTTGAGTTGGCCCACGGGACTGTGAAATGAGCTACATCACGTGTGTGTGTGTGTGTGTGTGTGTGTGTGTGGGTGTGTGTGTGTGGAGAAGGAATCATATCACAGATTACACAAGGCCTGGACTTGAAAGAAAGGTCATGTGTAATAATGAAATGTCAGAGTGGTGTGTGTGATTAAAATGAACAACAGGAGGGTTGGACTTGAACAGTTTAACCTGTGTTTTGCGGCTCCTTTAACTTGAGAGTAGTTAACACTGATGGATGGCATTCAGGAAAGAGAAGTGAGTGCAGTCAAAATGAATTAGAACATGATTATATAGCAAGGAGTGGAAAAAGGCTTTAAAGTCGAGGAAAACTGTTTCCATTAAAGAACTATACAAGTATTTCTGCTTTTTTTATCCGTTTACAACAAAGTATAGTGCTAAATTGGATTGGTGGATGCATTTTTCCTCTCCTTCTGTCTACTGGATTCATATTAGTTTTATTACATTATGAAAATCAGCTTTCAGAGAATTTCATCACAATGATTGATGATATTTTAAATTTGAAAAGGAACAAAAACAAATAATATGCAAAAACTGGATTAGCACAAACAATCATGTGGATTTGACAGTTTTCTCAGCACTAAAAAAATGTGCTGTTGGAGAATAAATGCTCAAGTCCCACAATTTGAAGCTCACATGACTACATGAAATACATATGATTCCTTTAATCTGCAAACACAAGCAAAAATACAAACCATTTTGACAAATGACTGGCAGTAATGTTAAGAATACTGTATAATGTATGTATAAAATGATGTATACGTTGCAGTAAATGGGGTAAACTTAAAAAAACACCACTGTGATGTTGAAAACATTTTCTATTTGTGCCTGAAATGGAAGGACGCAATGTGTTAGAAGAACGGATCATCTGGTAAGTGAACCCTGTGGTGGTGAATGCTTTCTCACAACCAAAAACATTCAAAAAAAGACTCACATATCAGGCCATTAAATCCAGCCCAACTGCTGCTTTGCCACTGAGATTCCCTTCCACTCTGTTTCCGATTCAAACAGTGCATCAGAGGGCACAGCTGCTGAGAACTGTGATATTCCACAACAACAACTCCTTTAATGCTCTGCATAATAACAATAATAATCTACAGTATGCAATAGCCTGCACTTACAACCTGTCCTCCAGCTGGCTCAGCACCACGAAGAGAAGCTGTTGTATCATCGGCTCTCACAAAACCTGTAATCGACCATAAACCATAGTCTGCCTCGCTGCAGCCCTCTAATCCCAGAGCATCTCTGATGGTTTCCCTGGTGACTGTGTTTAGCCAGCTCTTTGTGGGTGAAGTGGTCTGCATCTTTGCGTCTTGGCAAAGGGCATCTGCTGCCGCTGCTGAGGCCCTTTTGAGAGGTTTTTTGAGAGTCATTGTCATTGCACTCCAGTGACTGGCACTGAGCTCAGTCAGCCGGTTGCCAGACGTGCAGTTGGTGTCAGGATGTGCCAGGCCTCCCCAAGCAGGCCAGAGCAGATCTGGACCCGGTGAAAGGAGAAGAGTAGCGCTTTCTTCAATTCTGTCACTTTGTATGCTGTCAGGTTTTTTTTTTTGCGTAATGTTCTGTCAGAAGCTATTTCTCCTAACTGGTGTCATAGCCAGTGTTGGCAAACATTTCATTATTATAATAAGACACTAGATGAAAAATGAATGAACTCTATAATGAATAAATTAATGAATACTGAGAAATGTGCTGAAACGCTACAAAAAGTACATTACGTAATTTATATATGTGTGTATTTTACAAGGTTTTGTCAGTAAATTGTACAAAAGAGTACAGTACTTGAGTAGATTATGTCCCAGCACTGCTTGACTAAATCAACATTCAAAGTAACTACATTACCATAACCTTCAAAAGGGTATTAAATCAGGTATACGACTTTCAGAGCCTTAGTTTCAAATTCTAGCTGCGATTCCTCTTTGGTAATGCAGTCTGTGGGATGATTTTCCAAACCTTCCTTAAATAGTTTTTGGAAATGATGCACCATCAGATTTGGCCTCTTTGGAGCCCTGTTATCTCCTAAAAATGTGTGTGTTCATACAAACTAATTTGCATCAGCAAGTGCATTTTGTGGGAAATGTAATGCATCCCAAATAACAATGAAATGGGTATACTAAAACATTTTTATGGTTGTATTTAGGAAACTAAAAAGCACTTTGATAGGATTAGAGAAAAATGATGGTCTTGGTTAAATATTGAAAAGGTCAACGCTGGCTTAAAACACGAGAATGCCCTAACCTTTTCAATTATTAACCAAAACCATGATTTTTCTCTAAACATAACCTATACAGTAAGTGATTCAGTTGCCTAAACCTGACAAAACATGAACCCTATGGTGTCAAGTGTCAAATCCTGTGCTCCTGCCTATTTCTACCCGTTGGCTTCACGCTACTTGAAAAAGGGACAAGCTCGGGAAAAACTAACAAAGTCGCATTTGAAGTCCTCCTTCGTGGTTTTTTGTTAATCCCTCTATAAATATTTAAGTTACAAAGGTAATAGAAACTTTTATGGACTAGAAAGTTATTTTGGTAAACCAGATATCTCAGCTGGTCTAGAAATCCTTGAGACGCTGATACAGATCGATATTCCAAAATATATCATTGGTATTTTGTGCTCCGAAGCTGTAAAATTGTACTTAATTCCCTTTTAGTTCCCCCTTAGAAAATTAAGTTGAGCCTCTTCCCAACATACTCATCAAGTGTGCTAATTGTTTGCTTTCATTCCAGGACGATTTACATGTTCACTCTGTTTACAATTAACTTGCAACACGGAGGCCATTGTGGCATCTGTTTCTCCCCGTTTGCTTAACAAATACATGTCACTGGGTGATGCTTCAGTATATCACAACAGACAGGACACTAAATATACACGGTCTGTGGTTATCAGCCTGTGAAGTGGTGTCATGTAGAGTGAATGCTCTTGTTTGCTTTGTACACCGTCTTCCTGATGAATGGTGTTAAGATGATGGATCAGTGGGTGGCTGTTTGTGTGTGTGTGAATGGAAGCATATTTAACAAGAGGAGAAAAACAAGAACTCCTGTTTATGATTCAGACTTTATTCCATCCGTGTGAAATGTGATTAAAACCAATTTCTAACAGTGATTTGCTTAATTAAAATTCAGTGTAACGAGCTTATCAAGCCTTCAAGTTTATGAAATGCTCATAATATTTTCCGGGCCTGTGATTATTTAAAAGCTTTTGTGAATTTTCCATGCAGTCAAAAGTTCACTGTGCCTCTGAGTTTTTACATTCAGTAATAAGGCCATATTACAATAATAATAACCTCAGATATTTTCATTATGCTGCAGTCATTTTGATTGATGTAACACAGCAGTGACATAAAATACTTTCACTAGAATTTGTTTTTTATAGCCACAGTTCCTCCCGACGTCCTGCTTTATTGAGTTTCAAAGCATCAGTAGCACATTTCGGCACCACTGTATACTGCAACACAATCAGGGAGTGTTTTCTTTCACTTATAGTAAATTCAAATCATGGAACAGTGAGGGTTTTAATAGCTTTTAGCACAGGAATAGCAGCCGGCTGCACCAGCTAATCACAAATTTAGGTGTAAAGTCAATGCAAAATGATGCAATATTAAATGCTAATTTGTAACTGTGTTAACACTAGGATTAAAGCTGCTACTTCATTCACTTGTGGCGCAGCTAAATACTGTAACTTAAATTGACCGTAACCACAGAGTCACAGAGACTCAAGTTTTCATCCTGTGCAACTAAATGCATCTAACAGAAAGTATGCTATGTGTGTTAGCTTATGATATTATCAGCTGCTACATTGATGTTTCTTGAGATGCTGTCCCTGTCATACTGTAAATATGGTATATATGGTCATAAAACTTCCATTTTGGCATGAAAGATTCTGCAGGAGTCAACACTTGAACAATATTGAGCTTTTGTTAAAGTAAACAAGTGGTAAAAGAAGATTCCTACAGTTTATCACATGTTTGTGGAATAAAGTTACTCTTGAACTGAAATAACTATGTACTGCAAAAGATCTGTTTCGTCTTTTCAAAGAATGTAGAAGTTAAAAATATGGTATCACTCTAAAGTGGTATTTAGTCTTGAAAGTGTACTCAGACAGATCAGAGTCAAATTTTAGATGCAGCATGATTAGATACAAAGTCAATGGAAAGATGTGAAATTTGCCTTAAAGCAAATGTCCATACGAGTTTAAAATGTTTCAGCTTGAGTGAAAAATGTGCACTTATCCTGGAACTTTATGAATCAGCTTTATATTACAAACATACACAGAGGGGAAAAAGAAGAGAGATGCTAGAGGGAATACCAGAAATTATATCTAGCTGGTCAAAAGTTGACATCTGTACAGTGTGTATATTGGTTGTTTGGTAGCGAATAAGCACAGACATCACTGAAAGACCAGTGGTTAAATTCACTTGACTTTAGGGACTACAAAACAAAAAAACGGCCACAATATGCTATCAGTGTAAATAAACAAGTCCAATTTTCCTCAGGATCTTGAAACATTAGTCTTAACCATCTTTGTAGTTATTCCAACATGACAGATTGTAATAAAAAATAACTTAAGACAGGCTCTTGGAAGGTATAAATTAAAGTTTGAGTTACATCTCATTATAAGTAACTTGAAACATGATAAGTTATAGTGTAACTCCCATACTAAGTACAAGCTACGCTATACTTACAAGACAATAACCCACTGTAGTCTGGTATTTCCCTACCATGATATATCATTTGTGATACGTTGTACCTTCCTGGTTTCTTTGGAATAAACAGAAGAAGTATTACAGCCTTGAGATGGACAACACAGCAACCGTGACTGAACAGGTGAAAGAGCATCAACTTCATCAACAGCAACTCCAAGGAAAAAAACACCCCGGCACCAAGCACAATGATTGATTGGAAGAGCGCTGCAAAAACACCATAACTGGGAGTGCTAGCATGAGAAAGGTCATCAAAAAAAATAAAGAGTCTCGCAGAGGAAAAGGAATGAAAAGACATGAGTCATGCTGGTGCTCACGGAGCAGCGGCTCCTTCCCTTGACAGTGACTCACCTCTCTGATGGCTGTGCAGAACTCACTCTGAAGGACCTTCTTCAGAGATTGGAGCTTGTGACCGGGGACGTCACCCGACTCCTGCAGCTTCTCCAGCAGCTCGATAGCCCTGGCAACATCTGGCAGAAAGAGTGAGAGAGAATGGGTGTGAGGATACGTGTGTGGGTACACTTGCCAAGGGGACAGAGGAGGGTGGGGGGGGGTGAAAATGCCCCATTCAATTACATTAACAGCACAGCCACGAGAAAGGCGCTGAAGCGAATCAATGGGTGGGATAATGGAAATAGACTCAGTCAAGGCCAGCTGGGACAAGAAAGATAGAATAGCAGTCCCCGTCCATGGATCGTTTGCATTGGCTTAGGTCTATGCATAACAATAAAGGATAGAGGAAATAAGTCAGGCACTCATTTGTTCAAAGGTAACACTTCCTGGTAAGAATAGGCACCTGCGGGAATTACGAAGCATTTACACTAAACCGTACGCCTTAAGTTAGAGGTTGTGACTCTGGGGTGACTCTGAGCTCTCCTGCCGTAATTAGGCTGAGCTGAACGAGTCCGCCAGTTCAGCTGATTAATTTCTTGCCCTCTGAAAGTGGCAGGCCAAATAGAGCTACATAATGGAAGGAGAGGGAAGTGATTTGGCAGTCAATCACTGGACTGTTGGGTCAATAACATGTTTTATTCAGCCTGTGTGTCCAAAGATCTGTGACCACACAGCGAGAGGTAGAGTTTTACAGTGGAGCTGCGGAGTTTCCCTGCATTCTAGTTTCAGCCCAAAATATATTGATGTGTTGTTGCATATATCTTATGATGACGGCTGCAAGTTATGATCACTTTTCGATTTGGTGGCCTTTTATTATGATTATTCGATTAATCAATCAATAATTTAGTTTTTAAAATGTCAGAAAATAGTTAAAAGGCCAATCAGGTTACAAGTTGCACATGGAATTTCTTCAAATTGCTTGTTTTGCCCGAGGAATATTCCAAAACCTCAAAATATATATTTCCAAAAGTATAAAAAAAAAAAGGAAAAGGAACCGTACATTTCTGATGTATAAAAATGACTTTCTGTGTTATCTCTTGTTATTTGTTGCACTTGTTGCGTGATTATCTCGGGTCAGGTGACTGCCTCCCATTGGCTGTTGCTACATACATGTTTTAGCTATTTAAACATGCTTAATAGATTTCTACTTACTACTAAGTAGGTACTTGGGGGCAGTGCATCAGGCTGCAAACACAATGTTGATATATTATCACTATATTATGAACATTTAAGAAAACAATGGCTTACAGCACAACATTAGCATTCATTTGGAGTCGTGTTTCTGTCCACAAATACTAGTCCAATATTTACTCTCCTTTTTGCTCCTGCTTTGGTCTCCACTAACTCCTGAGGGAAATATGTGGCTGTTTAGCTGATAAATGCTTCACTATGTTCACCAGCTATTCGCTAACTCCATCTGTTGTTTAAAGATGGGCCGGGAGTGTAGAGTGGGTTTTTAAAAAGTTTTTTGCTGAAGACAGCTGCCTGCTGTGGTTGAAAACAACAATGATGAAAAGTAGTGAGACAGAACCAAAACAGTAACGTTGTGGGCCTTAAAACAAAAACGCTGGGCTGAAAGATGCTACACTCCTTATAGCTGCGGGGAACTGCAGAGTGATAAATCTCGAGCCACCCCTGTCACATACATAGCCATTGAATCCATTGTAAATGTAAAAATATTCATTAGAGTTAGCTTTAAACACTGGCAAAGCTAGTTCTCAGAATGCTTTGAAATATATTTTATTTAGATCCATTTCACAGTTTATAACAGTCTTAATATATTCACCCAACATTATTTTCCACCAGCAAACAGAACACCCACACCTTATTTTGACAGAAAGCGAAGCTGCTGGTTTAGATTCATGTCACCCCACCGAGCAACAACAGCATATTTTTTTTAAGACCTTCCTCGACTCCAACCACGCTTGGTTGCCCAACATGGACTGATCAATACACAACAGGCACATACACATGCTCTACATTACTGCACGTGCATTATGCATCAGCCACACATACTTGTGCATCATATGCATGCAGGAAAAAAGAGATAAACAACTAGACTCTGCAGCAAAGTATCACTGTAACCTTAACACAACTGACCACTACTTCCATGCACTCTGGCCCACCAGTACAACACTGGAAAGAAATAACTACTAAACCATTACTGTTCTTTGAGCATTGGCCATTACTATTCTTGAGCATCCCCGTATCACTGTGCATACTAGGAGACACAAATGCTCTACAGGTGGCCCAAACTATCGGCAAGAGAATACTACTAAACTGTAAAAACAGACTACAACTCACTATCTCAAACATGTCCTCACAAAACGTATTAAATCTACAAAATAAAAATAAAAATCGTGCGCATCCACAGTTAATCTCTCTATTTCAATTTTCTGTATGTTTTCAACCTGTATCCACCCCTACCTTTTACCATTTGCCAAGTCAACAGTGAAGTAAAGGATAGTATATACCATTAGAAAATCAAGTGTCATCATAACAAGCAGTAAGTAAATACAAACTGACTAATCAGTTTCTCCACATCATACTACAAAGCTGTACCAGTCTCTATTCATAGTACATAGTGGTGGACACAAACTGTGTGTAGAGGCATGACACACACACACACAGATATTGAATTCTTGGAATATAGAGTAACTCAATAAAGCAGACGGCAGATAGAGGAGCTTTTACTGTTTGCAGACCTGTGGGAGACAAGAAAAGAACTAATCTTGAGCTCTGGCTATGTGAAAACTCTATAAGGCCATACAAAGGAAATGTGAAACACAGTAAGATTTTAGCCTTTATTGCATTTCACCTTTATACTGCATATGGAGACAATGAGCACGCCTCACAGAAATCCAATGCCTGCTTCTATTTCAAGCGTTGTGTAATAAAGCACTACGGATTATATTGATCTGCTTTAAATTGCAGGCTCGGCTCCCTTCGAGGACCGGTTAGGGCTCGCGAGAACCAGTCCAGTGAGGATTGTATTGGCAGATAAAAGCTGGCAATCACACGACTCTTCTCAAAGTCTTGTCTAAAGATGGTCACAGGTACAGTTTGTGTATATAAAATTAGGCACAATGTTAGCTATAACAGTCAAAGCGTCTGCCAACCCCTAATTTTTGCCAATCACTCTATATCCTGTCCAACCAGCAGTGGTCCTAAGCGTGTTGCTGCCAGTTCCAGTCACCTGATCTCCAAAGCCCACACAGGCACCTGCTTTAATTGACCTTTCGCTAAGCCCCACCCCCCTTAGTTACTGTTGCTATGCCTATCAAGCTATTGCACAACAAAAAAATGCAATCTACAATGGTAACACTACTCCAAATTCTTAATAATTCTTTTAATTAGGTGTTCCCAAAATTGATGACTTGATGACTTGGACACTTACTAGCGGAAAGGTTTAGCAAACAGTCTAGAACATATAACAGCCTCTTTTCTCCTGCTCCTTGCCAGATTGTGTGTTGAGCCATCTGTGTTCTTGCCTTTTTGCCTGTTTTCTGTCTGCCCTGTTTTTTGACCCTTGCCTGCCTTTTTGGACACTCTGCCAGCTTGTTTATGCTCCTTTGTGCTCGGTTGTCCATTCTGACTGCTAACCTGTTGCCGACCTTTGCCTGCCTCAACCATTTCGTAAACTTTACTTTTAATTCATCTGCCTTGTCTGAGGGTCAATTGGAGTCCAAGCCTTGGTTTGGAGGCGTCGCAAGAACATGTGGGCAGTGTGCAGGTTGTATAATACTTTCCTTTGTTGGCAGCTCACAGTGTTAACGGGGTCGGTTAGTGGTATCTATAACCTACATACAAATAGTTTTGGTTTTGTTTCTGCTGAGGTTCTGAGATTTCTGCCTCCATCCCAAAACAACAGAGGTTAATGGAGTTTTGTTGTGGTTCCACTGTATTGGAAAATGGCATTTTAAAAATGTAACAGCAACATCTCCTTCCCAAAATCGTGTCTCAGTTGCTCTGGATGATTCACAGACCGCGCTGTCAGCAGTTGTTATAGGGACTATTTCCTCAGTAGAAAGTAGTTACAGTGAAAACTGTTCACACTGAGGTCTGTGGACTATCCAGAGTGACTGGGAGAATCTCTGTTGCTGTTTTCAATGCTGTAGGCACAAACAAAGTTTCATGATCGCAGACAAAGATTGACGAAGACTTCAGTAGCTGGTTAAATAAAGCCAAAACTACCTGCATGGCTAGATACCACTAAATGTATTATAATTTCTATAAACCAACCCTTATATAGCTGGCTCTTCAGCTAGTAAATGTTCCACTATGTTCAACAGCTAGGCTCTAACTGTGCCTGTTTGCTGTCTAAAACACATTTTAGAGGGGTTTTCAAAGAAAACAGCTGCCTGCAGCAGTGAGAGTGAATCACAATAGTACATTTATGGACCAGCTGAGGTGATCATTATCTGTAGGTTCATCCCTATTTGAACATTTTGTTTATAGCCACGTTAACTATTTCCTCTGCAAAAGAAATCCACCATACAGGGTTGATATTCTGCGATAATATTTTCTATCAAGGTGAATAGGTCAGTTTTTCCCCTATGCCTGAATATCAAAAAACACCAATTCTGAATAGCTTGTAATGAGCTGGTACACGTCCAAGCAGCAAGGGCATCTGTCTAGGAGGTTTATGAGCATTTCTTTCTCATTAAACAGAGGTCAAGGGCCATCCAGAGAAGACATTTTTTTCTCTCTCTCTGCCATTATTTGCGTTCACATTCTCATTAGTACCACTTACTTCATCCACATCAAGGACTTTGACGAGGCGTTTGGAATTTTACTTCAAAGATTGATTCTGCAGACATTTTTGGTGGTGCTTTCATCTCGCTGATCAGAAGTGATGCCTGCCCATTTCCTGATGCAATCTTTCTAATTTTGAATTCCATAAAGCTTTGCATCAAACAGATGAGCTGCACAGTTTTAATTCAATTAAATGGTCCAATGTTATCTACACTGACAGCAAATGTAATAGCGTAAGCCTGCCCCTGTCAATATATGTCATGTCCCTTTTGCAGTTGTATCCCATTGTATCAGAACATGGATAGAGAAAAAGTGATTACAA